GAAAGATTGGGATGGTCTAGTTGAATATTGTTCAGAGGGCAAGTATACTCATTGAGAAGTAATAAAGGGGTCTTAAATTAAGTTTCCAAAATATCGTCCCACAAGGATTGATTTCCAATTACTAAGAATTTTTTAATTCAATTGTTTAAGCTTCAAAGATACAAGATTAACTAAAACTAGAATTTATAAAATCAATTATAAAATTAAGAGCATGGAATACAATGCACGTCTTAGTTAAACTTATCGAAGAGGAACCTAGGACATATAGGTTTTCTCATTCAATCCTTTATGTTATTTTTCTGTTTAACTCTATATCCGATTTTCTTAGGATTACCAATCATTCACACGAATACTATTAATACCCAATGGTCATGCAATATTAATATTTTTTTTCTAAATTAATATTTTCAATGGTCATACAAGACATCAATTTAAGAAATCTTAAGGAACTTATGAACTTTTTAATTTAATAACGATTAAAAGAGAAAGATTTGTTTGGTCCACCTAATCCTTTGTCTCGTTTTACGCAATAGACCTATTAATTAACCGAGTTACGGTCGTTTGATGATATAATAAATTAGGATTAAGAGAGAAACGCAATAAGATAAAATTTAATCACAAAATGAAAATCAAATTTAGATTCAAATATCAAAATTCCATATATTCATGAACGATGGTTCTCATAGCCCTAGCTATAGACTTAGTTACTTATGCTAAGGAAAAGAACTAAAGCAATCATAAACAAAGTCATATAGAAAAGCAAACTAGAATGAGATAAGTTTTCAGTCTTCAAGTACGACCGCTCGAAGCTCCAAGTCTCGCCAAGAATATGCTAAAGATCCCCTAAATGAGAGACGAGGTGAAAGGGTGTATTATAGAGCAAAAGCCAAGATGTAAAATGATGTTCCCTACGATGCCTGAGGTCTTCCTTTTAATAGGATTTGAAAACCCTAAAGACTCTTTATAATTGGACTTCCCGCAGATGAACACGATCGTGCAAGACCTTAAGCACGACTGTGCATGAGCTCAAAGCACCCTTCGTGCTTATTGAATAGGTTTAGGCGTGCTAACTACTGTGAAGCTCTAATCTTCCATCAATTTGGGCTCAGAATGCACCCAAAATCCACTTACGGCCTCTTTATATCAAACTACACAATTAATATATAAATTAGTATAAAACTCAAATAAAATAAAGGTCAAATATGAATATATAGATTGTAAAAAATGGCCTAATTATAAACTTATCAAATATAAATCATCAATAGAGTGTCCACTACTGAAACTATATGAAAGGATTGTCAAAGTTGGTATAAATCTTTGTACTCACATTTGAAGTCAATCATCCTCCCTAAACTTTAGTTTTGCGTGGTAACATTATTTTTAGTAAATGAACAACACAATTAAAGAAACATGTAAAATAATGGACAGAGAATAGATTTGAAAGAGACCTAGAAACATAAAGGATATTATTAAGGAAAATAAATTTACGAATGTACAGTGTCAATACCTCTAGGTTGCATTGGGGAATCATTATTCATAGTAATAAAAGGTTTTGAGAAAAAAAAAAGTAAAGAAAAGAGATTTATTACCACTAATGTGATCGATGGCCCCATAATCAAGAATCCAGTAAAAGAGTAGGTGATGCTAGCAAAAGAATTTTTATTTTGCATAACCAACACAATGGAACTAGAAGTCTGATGAATTTTACTCTATTTCATAAAGTTGTCATAAAAGACAAATGGCATCTAAGGAGCATGTAATAGTCTAGTAAAGTCAAAGAACCTATAAAAAAGAGTAAGCAACATTAGTCACGTAAGGAGAGTGACCATATACAACATTGCAGTGATCAATTGTATAACTAAGGTTATAAAAATAGTCACTAGAGTAGAGGAGTTCATAAGAGGAGAAGGAACAACTTCAATAAATATCTTAACCAAAACACAAAGGTCTGAGCAAATAAAGTCTAAAGTGGGACAACCTAATATCTACTCACAACCCTCAAGTAAACCATACACAAATAGTAATATAAATAATTGTTCCAATTGCTCAAGTTCTTTACCAGTTTTGTAAACAGGAGATAAAAGTTTATTGAAATCATAAAGGACACTAGAAAGTTGAGTTGGATAGGTAGTCATATAATCAACAAGAAAGTAAGCATCAATAACAGTCATAAGGTCAGGACATACTTTATAAAATCATTATATGTTATTGGTATAAAGAGATTTAGCCTAAGTTTATATAGCTTCACGTCTCCTAAGCACAAAAAATAAATCACATAAAATGATGAATATTAATGTTAACAATAAAACAAAATTAGGAATTACTATTTTTCCAACAAAGGCAATCAACCTCATCAATAGTTTTAGCCTTCATTGTTATATGATCTTTTTAATCTTAACCAACAAGCTAAAAATAAAGAGTTGAAGCTTAAGGAGGAGAATTTTTACTATCCAATTGCTCAAAAGAGAAAGGAACAATGACTTAGTTAGTAAAGTTAGCTGGTTCAGGTGATGAAATCATAATTAAGCTATTATTTGACATAAATTTAGTACACTTTAGAGATTAGTCAATAATTACGATTTTTGGTTAAGTTGTTATATACTTTTAAAGTTTTTTATCTAATTTATTGGACAATTGAATTAATTTGTAAATTTTTTTATTGTTTATAAGATCAATTAGCAATGATATAAAGATTGAAAAAGTTAAGAAAGTCAAATGCAAATGTTAAAAATTTGGATCTCGACATTTCAACATCCAACATAAGGAAAAATAAAGATTGTTGCTAACATGTGAGCATCCCAACACCAAAAGTGGGTGTCTTAATGCCCAAATCATACAAAATTATGACATATTAACTTCTAAGCATTTACACTATGATTCTCTATGATTCTGGGATCTTAACGTCTAGCATGACTTTAAAATCTATAAATAAATATCATGGAGTTGATTTTTAAATTGAGCTCATTTTATTTTTTATTTTACTTTTAGTTTAGTTATATAGAACTTTTTCTCTTTTTTGTTTTTTTTTTTTCATTTTTTCTCATTTTTATTTTCTCTCCTAGAAATTTGGATGACTTAATAATGTTTCTCTAGATTTTCTATAGTATTTTCTTATTTATTTCTGTATTGTTTATTGTAAATATGTGTAACTAACTTCTTTTAAATTAGTATTAGACAAAATTTCGTTTAATTCTCCGATATTAACAATTCTATTTCATTCTTATTTTGCAATTGAATGAGTTTATTTGTTCTTAATGCATTCTCTAATTTGACCAGCTAAAAAATTATTTTAAACTTAATTTTACAATTGAAAAATTAGTTGTTAAGTTAAATTTAAATAATTTTCCATGGTTGCAAGTTATATTAAAGAATGCACTAAATATTATGAGAATTTCAGTTTTTAAATATTAATGTATTTGTTAATTATATTCCTTTAAAGTATGTTTCTGAGAGAGATTTTGGAGGGAAAGGAATGGAAAGACATATTTATTTAATTTTAATTTTAAAGAATAATATATCATTTATGATAACAAATATATTATTAATATATTAAATTTATGTTAATATCAATTTATATATTTTATTTAAAATAATAATTTTAAATATATTTATGTAAAATATAAATTTTGTTCTCTTTTTTTATCTCCTCTAAAACTCCTTTTTTCAAACAACTCCTAAAAAATTATGGATTTTTGGTTGATTGCATAGGAGTTTTTATCTAAGGATTGAAACTAATTCAAAATTAAAGAATTTAACTTTCATTCCATGATAAAAGATTAGATGAGATAATTGATGCGTATTCTTTTGTTGCGTTGTTACCTAAGCAAATAGTATCAATAAGTGTACTAGTTGTTTTAGTGAGTATAAATTAGATCAATCCTCCTATAATTGGGTCAGAATATCAATGTTTTTTTCTTAGATTTTTATTTGAACTTATAATGTAATACAATGATATGGTCTGCAAAAAAAAATTTAAAAGTGCAAAAAATATTTTTTATATGAATGAATAAAACTTTTTGGATTAGAATTTCATAATTTCTTTTTAGTTTTATTTTTCAGACTTTGAGTTTTGTTGTAATAAAGTATTGATTATGTGCAGTACATGTACACGTTGAGACACACACACTTTACACATACCGAAAGCATAATTCCACTTTTCTATGAAGCACCAAAAAACAAAAAGGGAGTCCTTATTTTTCACGCACATGCATTTTTCTCCAAATATCTTCGAGTGACAATACTTTATTCTTAATATGCCTATCATTTGAATAACATTAAGGACTACGTGATGTTTAAATTTGAGGGGAGAGATTTTAGAGAAAATCTGTGTTTTTCTTTTACAGATTTAATATTTAAAATACAAGAAAGTGAAAAAAATTTCTCATAAATTATTAACCTAAAATTTTTCTGACTTTGAATTTATTTTTAAGAAATAAGTATTTACACATACTTTAGCTTGAAAGTGAATCATAACTGACGCAATTCAGAATTGTTAATCTTTTAAAAAATCTAACAAGTTGTGAAATCAAGTTGCATAAATTATTTAACAATCAAAGCATTGAACATGGTAAACAGGAAAAAGAAAACTGAAACCGTAATGTTATACCATGAGAAGACTTGAACTTTTAACTATTTGTCTTTCCTGTAAGATTAATAACCTTCTACTTTTATATTCTAGAATTACATTATTTTTTTGCTGAAATTACAATTATATTTGTAAGTAGAAATTATATAAATAATTATTTTTTTAATTAAACAGAGCCAAATAACCAAAACCCATCTATAAAAATTTAAATTTTAACTTAATTAAATAATGTCGTATGATCTATTTAGTGAAGATAAAACTTAGTTGATGTTGTTATTATATCTATTATATCCTCTTTCCAAACTTTCATTTATTAATTAAAATATTTATAAACAAAATAAAAGAAAATATTTTTCGTGTGTGTGGGGGTGGGGGAGGGGGGGGGGGTTAAAAATGTAAACAAGTCACAATTTTGCTAATCCAGAAGCATTTATAGACGTCTATCCTTAGTAAAGACAAAAATAGGGGGGAAAAAAAGCAATAAACATAATGCTACCATATTACACAAGCATGGGAAAACTTTGCTTGCATATGCAGAATGGATTTACACGTTGCCTCTACTCAAAAAAGGAAAAAAAATGGAATACTTAATGAACTTATCAACTAGACAAGAGGAGGGAAAGAACAAATTAAGGTATACAAATCTACTAATGTCTTTTTCCTTCCATTTCAAATCCAGGATACCAGTCCTCGAAGCTAGAAATTTTGTCATTCTAGATGAAGATCAAGGCAATCTATTTGCTAAAGGTGAGTCTACAAATAAATATGCAAACCTTGGTAGATACTATCAGCCAGGGTATTATCCCAACCTGCAATGGTATAAACAATTAGAACATTCATAAACCGTTACATGCTTCACATATATTCACTTTTATTTATACTATGTAATTTATCAGAAGAAAAACAGTCCATTGCACAGTGTAACTCAGAAAATTATAAAAAATTACCAAAATACTCCTAATTAAAAGTAAAACTAAGAGGTGGAGAATCCTAATTTGATTGAATGTTAAAGTTGCATTCCAGTGGATTGGATGGGCACAGTGTGTACTACAAGTAACTTGTACTTGAGTAAACAGTTATTTGAACCATAATAATTTTTCTAGCATTACTTATTACCATAACATTGTTATTTTGAACCCCTGCAGTCCTCCAAGATAATAATCTCCCTGCAAAAGAACGTACAACAAGTTCAGAACTATTAATAAGAGGCAATGAGGTATGCCATGTCTCCTAGGTCCTCCTTTGGACCAAATATCACAATATCAGAATCCAAAGATAAAAAAAAGGGGAGGGGGGTGCAGATTTTTGTTTAGCAAGCAATCTTGCAGTGTTAGCCAAAAAAGAGAAGTTGTACTGTAACCTAGTAAAATAGAAGTATTAATCATAATTGCATTACCAAATGGTTGCACAAGTTGTTGAGATATGCTAGCCACAGGAACACTCCAAAACCAAATAAGCAGAATTAAATATGTGGAAACCTACACGACACACCATATATACAATTATCTTATTGGCCTCGAGAAAAACAAAATATGTAAAATCAAAAACAAATGCTAGATCAGGAAAGACCTTTAAGATGAGCAGAACTTTCGAATACAAAGCAGTATCTTTGACATGTACATTTAGACCTGCATTATAGTCTAAACTAAAATTATTTTTATATATGCTAGATTTGTTAAATAGAAAAGGCAGGTAAACTAGAGTAATGCTACTTGCACAATAACCTCACGAAAATAGAGCAAAATTCTAATGTGAACACAACCATGGCAGTTAAAATCGGAACTTGAATCGTAAAATTACACAATTTTTGCTGGTGAAATGATGCAAATCTTTCTTGTAATCGGGTGAGATTAGGATCTCACCCCAATTCCTTCATAACCCGATGGATATGCCTGACCCGACTTTTATTTTTGCTCAAACTAAGTCCCACCCTTCTAAACCTAGTCACACCTCCTTTATTTTCTTCCTTGAACCCAAGCCAACATTGGTGACCAAGAGCAACCTGGTTTGCAGCCAACTGTGACTGCGTCTTCTTTGCGATCCTTATGTGGTTTTCTCTGCCCCAATCTACTATTTTCTCATCTTGCTCTACCTTTTTATATTGTCCAAGTCTGAGAATGGCTTCTAACATGGGTGCTGCTCAAAGCTCGGGTGGTGGCAGTTCTAGGTCTGTCCCAACTGCAACCGATAGCTCCACTGCTGCTGCTGGTGTTTCTGCCTTGTAATTTGTCAAAAACGTGGTGATTTGTGTTGTTGCTTTATGGATTATGCTTGATAGTCTTATGCAATATGGATAATGATCTATCAATGCAAGTTTACTTAAATGTTTTAGGGATTTTTTTTATTTTTATTTAAGCTATTTTATATGCATGTATATATGATTTTTGTAAAATCTTACGTTCTGCCAACAAAAATTGTAAAATCGCCTGATTTTACTATTCAAGTCCTGATTTTAACTACCATGCTCCCAAGTGTAAATTTGCATGTCAATCTACATTTACATAGAATGCAATAGGTAACATGAAATGACTTGTGTAAACAACTCACACTTTGCAAGTTCCCTCTCCTTTGCAGCTGCCTGTCTTTTGAGTTTTGCTGCTTGCGCAAAGGTTGATGGCCTGAGAGGAAAATGGTATGACATATGTATCTCTCACAAACATACGCATTTAATATTCAAAGTTTACATTAGATTTAAATTTAACATATTTCTATTGTTTAAACATTTCCATAAAGAGACATTTATTCTGAAACCCTAGTTAGAAACTCGAAGTAGACACAAAAACACACAGAAAACAAAATAAAAGTAATAAAATAAATGTTATTTCGGTTTCACCAAATAATTTGATTCAAGATACAACAAATAAGATAGCTAGGGCTTGAATAAGAAAATTTAGATGCACTCTTTCATTGTGCCAATTGAAAATACATCACTGCCTATGTAACATATTTGTAGTCTTTTTAATGTACAATTGTTCATCTAACCAAAAGCATTGAACAATTTTTAGATCAAGGGAGTGTGGCTGCCACCCTCATCACAATGTATGCCCGTCCTATGAATAGTAGTTCAGACAAAAATACGGAAGTACTAAATTGGTTCTAACCATAGATATAACAACCAGCTGAAGTTGGAATTCCAAGTAAAACCCATTTCTTTTCAGAGGAGGATATGATGGCAAAAGCATAGGTTACTTACTGCGACAATGAGCTTGCCTCCTTTAAAAGTTGTCTTATTTCTTCACGCAACTGATTTTCTTTTTCATTCTCAGATCCACTCTGTAGCAAAAGCATATGACTTAGAAATATCAATATCATAATCAACAGTCAATATGCAAGCACAAGAAAAGACAATAAACATTTGAAATTTATGATCGAAACAGAGTACAGAATCACTGAAACATTTTATACAAAGGGTGAATGTTGTCGCATGAAAAGTCTAAAATTGTGTGATGCATAGTTAATTAATGACATTTGGGCCAAAGATTTGGTAACACTGAGCAAAGTGATAAAACAATACATATGGTGGACAACTAGGGAATCTAAATTGGAGCCTTAAAACTTACCATTAATGCCTTAATTTATATACACAAAAAATCATTCCCTAACCCTAGCAATGGCTATATTGCATTCCACAACTAAAGACATACTTATCAATAGTGCCGCCGCAGAGTGAAGAGGAGGTCGGTCGCCCATCACAAGGGTCACACCCTAATCACATACAAAATCACGGTGAGGGTGCATGCTCTAATGGCACGACGGAGAAAGGGAGCGGAAGTCCAATTCTGCCCCAGTTATAATGTTGTTCTGGGCCCTTTGTAAGAGAAAAAATGGACTTTTTGTCCTACTTGAAATTTTTCCCTTCTCCTCTCAAGCAAGCTTCCTTCTACACAACATAACTACCCTCATCCAGCCTGTTTTTGTCCTTTCTTCTCTGAAGAAAGCTTCTCCTTCACCATTATCACTGGAAACAACATCCTTTCCAATTGTTTTCTGCTGATTACGAGTGAAAGGGACTGTTTCCTGGTGTCTATTTTCTGTTTTTCTTCTTCAACAGTGCTCTGTTTCTCACTCTCTCTCTCTCTCTGCATCTTTTCATCTCTATCATCTTCTCCAAGGGCCAAAGATGTCTTAAATTTTTAACGTTGCAGAACCATGTATAGGAGGGTATTTAAGATGTTTGGGTCAAAATAAACAGTTCTCTGTTTATTTCCTAGATTTGTATTGCTATAAATTGTATATTTTGTTAAACTAAGAAAATATCATGAATTTTAGTTTTTCGTTTTCTAAATATTTTACCCTTTATATATATAGCATAAGTTATGTAACTTAACTAAAAAATTTCAGAATAGTGATCATCCTGCAATCTGCTATCCCACTATAGCATTTTTGGGGTCAGCCCACCACACACCACTATCCAAGATTGATAACTATGATTAAAGACAGGAAACCAAAAAGTCTCAAAATATCCTACTGAAGGATTCACATTCGAGACAGCCTAGTTCATCATTGGACATGTGAAGTGAAAAACTCAAGACTTGATCATAATAATTCAAAAACTACACCACAATGAAGATGAAACTTGGTCTATGTCAAGTCATCCTGCTTCTGTTTCTCATGAATAGGGTAAATCCAAGCATGGGATTTTAGAACCCTGTTACCATCCTAGCCTATATTTTTTCTAAGAAACAACTGCACTAAAGTGTAGAATAAAATAAATTTTGAATTATGACATTATTCTCCTTAAATGTTCTATTTAAGAATAATGAGTGTATAAGCATACTGATTTCCAAAATCCTATGATAAATGTGAAATAGATGTTGCTTATCTTTACCATGAGAAGAAACTAGTATAAAAATCAAATAACCAAAGGTCCAATTCAGCAAGGTAAGCCACATAAGTAGATATATCTCAAATAAGTAATCAAAACTATATTAAGAACATTATTTGAATCATTTTTAAATTGTTAGAAATTAGAATAGTGAAAAGGGAAATGATGGTGAAGGGAGATGACCTTTTTGAAGTGATCAAGCCAAAAGGAAGCAAACTGAAATGCAAGAACGACGAAAAATATGAAAGGAGCCGCTAGTGAACTTTGATGCTCTTCACTTGCTTCGTCTCCCATCCTCAATTCAATTTGAAAGCCTCAAACAGCTCTATTCTATGGTTACTTTTGCTTCTTTTCTTTCTTCAGGGTAAAAAGGAAAACAATGAAAGCCAGACCAAATAGTGACCCAGTATAGTTTCAGGTTCAGGTTAAACCAGCTAGTCCAGGCTGTTGAACCAGAAGATGGTCTAAATATACTTACATAAAAACCTGGATAATAAAATTAAATACAATACCTATCAAACGCAAATTCTGCTCATAAGCGACAAGATTTATAAGCAGTGAGTAACAACACACTATACAGTGAAGGGCAGGGCTCAAGAAGAAAAGTGCACACAATAATACGGCAACAAGTTAGAATCAAAAATATTATATCAGAGCATAGGATATAATAAATTACTGAAAATATACACGAAATTGAGAGCAAGAGTCAGAAAGCATTTTCCCGAGCTAGGACCAAACCAACGGCACCATGCACAAATGAATATTTTAAATATAATAAACTGATACAAAAATCCATCCAAATCTCCTTATAATCGATAATAAACGTTAAACTCAAACCAGTTTAGACACACGATTTCTAATCATACAGAAATCAAAGCCACGAAAATTATGAACAGAATAAAAGAGAGAGGATAGAAGATGAAGTTGGGTAAACATACCCTCTGGGACCGTACATGTTTCCGAGATCGCCGAAGGATCGAGCAAAAGAGATTTCTCTTGACGGAGGAAATTGATACGGATCCAGCTCTTGAAAGATAAATCGCAAACCAAGGCGGACACAAACCCTAGCTTGGCTTACACGTGTTTCTTCCCACACACCACACTGCGCACCCCACTCACCGTCTCTTCTATTTTTCTCTTATACGCTTTGTTTCTATGAAGTATGGAAGGTGTAACCAGGAGAAAAAAATATGAGAAGATGAAAAATAGGGAAAAAATAAAGTGTAAAATATTTTATGTTTAAATCAGTTGAAATGGGAGAGAAAATATATGAACATAAATTCATTTCACTTATTTTAATTAATAGAAAAGAATATAAATAAATAATTATGTTATATTAAGTATTTATAAAAAATCAAACTTAATTTTTAATTTTTTAATAAAAATTATTTTAAATTATTTTAATTTTAAAAGATAAAAAATGAAAATTAAAAAAATTATGTTGAACCATCTCTCATATCTCTTCTCTTGTTTTGTTATTCATTTCTTTTGATTTTGAGAATTTGTGTTAGACCTAAAAAAAATATTTATTTTATCATCACTTCCTACTCTACTTATTTTTTATTTAAAGTTATTTTTGTTTTTTCTCACTTATGTTATAACACAACCACAAAAATACTATTTTAATTAATTTCAATTAATCTAAAAGTACTATAGTAAATGCATCTAGAATTTTATATTTTTTTCTGTTTAATATGTTTTTTTTTTGTGAAATGCCCTTTATTTTATTTTATTTTTTTCAATCTGAAGTTTTTGAATAAACAAATTAAAGGCCTAAAACAAAATACTACTTCCATACATAGGTGTAGTAAATAAACAAAAAAATATAATCACAAGGAAGGAATATAAGAAATATAAGTCAGAAAAATAAAAATGTACATAGCACTAGATTTACAATATATATTAGATTTGAATCTAATAACAAAATCTTAAATTCAAAAATTATCGTTAACTATGTTAAAACCTATAAGAGTGTGATAATGATGTCTACATAAATTTGAATGAACTTTTTAATATTAGATATTACATAAGTGAAAAGAAAGATAGACACGACAAGAAAAAAAATAGAGAACTCTAATAAATTGAGGAGATAAATAATAATTTTAGTTTTTTTTGGAGCTAAGAAAACTTTAAATTTAACATGTAATGCATCAGAATTTAAACATATTTGGACTAATTTTTAGCAAGTAATTGTCCTATTCTCACTCTTTTTTCATTTTGATAGTTAAGCCTTGTACTTTCTTTTAGAAATTAAAAATAAATTAGTTAATAATTTTTTAATTACACTTTCATTAGAAATCATATAAAATAAATAAATAAACTTATTTATAAGAAATTGCATGACTTAATTTATATAAAATATATTTAACAATTCAAACAAAGTCATAATCTTAAAAATGTGATTGGGCTAATTACACTTAATGACATTGATAAATGTAATAAGTGATTAGTTATAAAGATGGATAAAAATGATAATAATGATCCTCTAAATAGACAACTCTTCATAAAATTTTTAAAGTTACAGATCTAAAACATATACCATGCAACATTCTAGAAAAGATAAGTATTTGTCAAGTGATATTAGTATTAAAACTACAAAAGTTTCCAAAAAAAAGTCATGTTTAATAACAAAAGGAAAAGTGAATGTGATAATTGAAGATAATAAAGAACTAGAATTTGAAAACATGTTAAAGGAAATAGTAGATGAATTGAAAATTAATCTTAAAAAATATGAAAGAGAAGCAGAGAAAAGATACACCTCACTAGATGACAAAAATATGACTATTAGGGTTGAAGAGGAGGATTAAACAATTAAACTTTATGTTTTTCTTGTTTTCTATTACTTTGTTTTGCTTATTTGACAAATGATGACTTTTTATTTTATTTTGAGCTATGCTTTCAAATTTTACAAAAATTTTATTATGAAACTTATAAGAATATGTTGTTAGGTTTTAGTTTTAACATATGTAGTTAGTTTATACATACCTATATATATATATATATATATATATATATATATATATCACATTTTACATGTTTTTTCATATATTTTTGCAGATATAATATATATGATATTATTTGTCATTTATAACATTGTTAGCATATAAGATTGAATTCATATGATAAAACTCTTTCAATTCAATTCCTCCTTACTTTTTACTAGTAGTTAAAGAAGTTTTAACTTTTTCAATGTATTCCCCTCTCTTTACTCCCTTTTTCTCTACTAGAACCTAGCAACTTCAAACACATATTAAGGAATAAAAGGATTTATAAAGTTTAAATATAGATATAATATGAGCAAAAATTGCTTGAAGAAGATCTTTGTCAAGAACTTTTTCCCTGCCTTAATTTAGAAGCGTTCTTCAAATTTTCTCATGATGTTTTATATAAACCAATTGAAAGTTGTTCATATAGATATACCTTAGTTAGAATATCTCAATAACTTCCTTAATGTTCCTGTATTTAATACCAAAAATAGTTAATGCTCTCTATATTTAATACTAAAAATAGTTATGATTGACTCCTTGATTGTGTGATTGGTGAACCTTAAAAAAAAAGGGATTTGGTTAGATTAATATGTTTTTGGCCAACGAGTAGGTTTTGAGTATTCTAAGTAATTGGTAGGCTTTATTCTCCTTGATTTTAGCAAAAAAAGATTAAATCATCTACAAATAATATATAAGTAATTTCAAGTGAACTAGATTTAACTTGAAGGTGATAAATCCCTCCCCCTTCTTCCTTGACTTTAAATAAAATTACTGATAAGACATATGCTACAATAATAAAAAAAAAAAAAAGATAAGGTGATAAGGAGTCTTCTTGCCTCAAGCCCAATTATAAGGGCAAATGGTAGCTTTTGTACCTAGTATCTTCACTTTATAAAAAATCATAGATAATAATTTTATGACTAGGTTAACCTATGGAAGGTTAAACCCATAAGTAACACTATCTCTAAGAAGCCCTATTCCAACTTATTATATACTTTTTTCACATCTAGTTTGGCTATAAAATGTTCCACAACAACCTTGATCTCTCTTTTAAAAAGTGAAAAGTTTCATAAATGATCAAAATATTATCTTGAATAAGTCTTCTATCCGCAAAAGCACGATCCACAGAAAAATCAAAGATGGGCAAAATAAATTTTAATTTACGATTGGAAAGATAAGTCAAAAAACTCTTGCTAAAAAGAATACAATCATGTGTTTGCATGTTAATTTCAGAATTTTTACATAAAAAAAAGTTGGATATTGCATATATGTCTTGAGTTGAAAAATTTTACAAAAATGTCATGTTTTGAGTTACATAAAAGTTGATTATAATTATTTTTTCTTCAACTTTTAAAATTTGTTTATGTAAAAGTCAATTATAATCTACCTTCCTTCAATTTTTATAAAGCTTTTACACAAAAGTCGATTATAATTGACTTTTCTTCAATTTTTAAAACTCGTTTGCACATAAGTCAATTATAAACAACTTTTTTTTCAATTTTAAAAAAATTCTTACATAGATGTCAATTATAATCAATTTTCCTTCAATTTTGAAAAAGTCCTTACATATAAATTGATTATAATTGACTTTTCTTTAATTTTTAAAAAGCATACATAGAAGTATAATAGATTTCTATTCAAAACAAAAGTCAATTATAATATATTTGAGTATATTCTGACGTATTTTGAAAATAGCTTATAACTAATTTTTATTATGTATATGTTGTTATGTAAGAATTTAATTATTATAATATGGTGGTTTAAGACTTTTAATTATTATGTACTTTGAACATTTAATTTTATGTACTTAAGTTTAGCATGGTTGCATGTGCTGAAAGATGGAACACAATAAAAAAAAATCAAATTTTTCTTACAAAAGTGGTGATATAAATTCACGAATGCATCTCAACATATTCATTGTACCAATCTCATCCATTTAATTATAAATCTTCGTGAAAATCGTACGATCCTCAAAAGTTTGCTTAAATACAATATTTGGCCGTATAAGAAGCTCAATGTATGGCAGTCACATATCTTCATTAGGAAGAGAATTCAGCTTTGTACACATTGAGCATAGACTCCATGATATAAACTTCATCAAGAAAAGAGGTTCACTTTTATTAAGCGTCAAAACACACAGCGAGTGCATGACGACATGGATAGTGCAATTTTTAGAATTCCTAAAGTCACATCATCGTTGTATTAAATACACTTTGAATTCCCAATGACCATGACTTCCTATGTTGTCTCATTCAAACACCAAATATTGTAAAGTATCCCAGGCCACTCACGTGGTACTTATATTGCCTAAGTGTATCCTCAATCAATCATTTTTAGAATGCGTCATAATATACTAAAATCTATTATAACTAACTAATATTTTGTACATAAATCTATTATAATTGGCTTTTGTATAAAAGTAAGAGTTTTTTAAAAATTGAAGGAAAGTCAATTATAATTGACTGTTATATTGTGTATAGTTGTTGCAGCAAAGTCAATTATAATCGACTTCTATATAACAAAAAATAAGACATTTTTTATAAAACTTTTCAACTCATGACATATATATAATATCTATAGCAACTGTGCAAAATTAAATTCTCCAATCACAGATTTCTAATCCACAATCCCAACGGTCAAAACAAAGAATATTGTTTTACAAACCTGCTATCAAATTTTTAGTCCAATCCAACGGTGAACGAAGAAGGAATCGTGATTTTACTGAGGCTGATATGTGAATATGCAAATCAATTTTTTTGCCCTCTTTCTCTCTTTTTTCTCTCCTAAAAAGCTGCGAAATTAACACCCTTTCCTGACCTAGAAGACCCCTCTCCACTTGGGTTAAGTGAAATAAAATGGGGTTGACAAGTTTGGACTTTTTTAATACATAGTTGGGAGTCCAACCTAACACATCTCCCCCCTCACAACTATGTAGAGGTGACAGCCAATGCCATCTCACAACAAGCTTCAATCTTTCACCTTGGTAGTGCCTTAGTCATCATATCAGTACCATTATAATAAGTATGAATTTTATCCAATTTCAACAACTTAACATCCAAGGCATCACGTATCCAATGATACCTCACATCAATATGTTTAGATTTAGAATGAAAAGTTGGATTCTTACCAAGATGGATAACACTCTGACTGTCCACAAGTAGTGAATAGTT